CTGCCGCGCCATGTGGTCACCTCTGGGCAGGTGGGAATCAAACTCATGTGGAAGCGGCCTTTAGATTCTCAGTACTGTGCTTTAACCCGCTGCGGCCACCAGGGAGGGCCACAAGTAAAAAATATTTTAAAGATAAAGCCCTTTTTTGAGGGAACACTTGAAATTCTTAGTTTTAATTTAGGAAAAAATAATGATGGCTATTGTTGCTTTCTCCACACTGTCCATTTTGTTGAGTATCAAATTTTGAGTCAACTTAGTCTCCTCTCTAGCTCAGTGCCTCTTAATAGGGAGAGTACTAATTGTTCTCTTGGGGTTGAGAGAGACTTGACAGCTTGTAAGGGTGCTTTTTCACTTTGGGGGTGTGGGGGACATTAGAAATATTTGATAGGTGGCAATCAAGAGTTTCCTGTATCCTTCCTACCAGATAACTGATCCTACAATGTAACTCTTAAAGATATAAACAAAGTATTTTTGTATGAATTCAGTATAGGGTACACCAGCTTTTCTGAGTGCAGCTACTTTGTTAGTCAAAGAAAAGATGTATGTTTTGTTTGTAATGTTTCCAAGAGTAACACTGAAATGGTACTTGAGTTCACTTTCCAACATACTGAGGTCATGGATTTTTGTAGCAGTTAATACTCATCTATTGTATGTTTTCTACTACTGTCATTTGTGAGCATTTATGTACCACTATGCATTTCACTGTTTTGTTTCCCTTTCGCAATTAAGAGGCAAAGTACTATATCCTAAATAGAAAATTAAAATTAGTCTTCCTCATCTTTGAGAAATAGAACTAAAATATTTTTTTTTCTTTATGAGTTTCAGTATAAAGTAAAAAATGAGGTCAAAGGGTGATTAGCACAGCATGGAGTGTGAAGAAAAATAGGTATGACGTTTCAGAAGTTGATGAGTGACCCAGATAGTGTGAGCTCCTTGAGTTTAGCAACCCTGTAGGGATATTATGACCTCAAGTTAAATTTGACTTAGGATCCAGATGTTAATTCTCAAAATTCTTAAGCAAAAAACCCTTTTTGCTGCTTTGAAATCAGTGGGCCTTCTCAATGCTGGCAGTATTAGCTGTGTTGTCGCAAACTTATTTTGTAAGTGGTTAGCTAGAAAGAAGAATGGTTGCAAGAGACGGAGATGAAAGAGAATGGAGAGTGACTGCTATAATGGGAAAAGGATTTCCTTTCAGGGTGGTAAAAAGGTTTGAGACTAGTGTGATGGTCAGTCACACAGTGTACACTTTACAATAGTAATTTTTAATTTTGTTAAGTATTTTACTATAATGAAGAAAGCTGGTCTAGC